TGCAAATTTTTGCCTGGTTTAGACGATTAAAGGATTGTTTTAAATAAGATACAACTAAAGGTTCAAACAAGTTATGGAAAGTTTTTAAAAATTGTAAAGAGATTCTGTATGTGAACATATTGACTAAATTCAAAAGGGTATTATTTGGTTTTTCCATAAATTGAACACTGGAATAAAAGCACAACAAGGGTGTCTTGAGGCACTGACCTACCCTTTAACACAAATTTGTAAAGGGTTATAAAAGGTTTTTAAGAATTGTACCTCAGAGTCAAACTTGTTAAGATTGAATAAAATTATCTAAAAGGTTTAATTTAAAAAGTTGAGGCTGACAATAATAGACTAATGCAAGCGTGAAATTTGGCTTTCTTTCTCTTGAAAAAGATTTTTCTTTGACTTCTGAATAAACTCTCAAAAAAAGAAGGGAAAGACAAGAAACGGACTGTTTGAAAAACTAGGTCTTCCCTCTTGACGAGTAAAGGCTTTTGCTTTACAACAAACAAACAAGCAAACAAAATACAACACTTTGAGTCATTTAAACAGACGACTTAAGGTAACCTGAACTTTTATTAAGTGTTTTGAGCCCTTAGAGCTTCAAAATTGTATTTTCTAACCCCTAGCTTTTTGATGCTACAGAGGGCCCCTGGGACATCCAAGAGAGAGGTAAACAGGATTATTTGACATGTTTACTTACATAGGATTGATCAGGTGGTGTTTGATTTTCAGGTTATATTTTAGTGAAAAATGTGAATGTGTGTTCCAAAAATTGTATGGGATTCCTAGAGTTCTGATGTCTGAGTTTGTGTTATCAATTATAATCAAAGTTATGTGTTAGGTTATCATAAATCACAAAGGTGACTAAATTTCTTTTGTCAATCATGTCTTTCACTGTGACTATCCCAGGACATTCTAACATTCATAGATATTTGTTGTTTTGATCCTCCTCAAAGAATGGATTATAACCCTTGAGTGCAGGTTTCTGCTAACTTTGGAGATTGCGAATAGGAGTTGACTGGGTGAACTGAATAGAAGACTAATCTTTCTTGACTTTTTGCTTGGAACACTGCTGATCCTTATGTTTTGTTTTTCAAAATCAAGGAAGCTTTTGAGTTATTTGTACCTTTTGACAATTGTGGAAGTGAACCAACCAATGATCTCTGACTATAGCTCAGAAAAAATAAGAGATGGGCTGTCAAACTTCAAATGTCAAACTTCAAATGAGGTATACAAATAGAGCCTCAGTAGATAAATCTCTTTTACTGGAAACCCTTGGATAGGCCTCTGAGAGAGAACTATTGTTTTCCCAAAACAACACCCCATGTCAGTATGAAGCAGTTAATGGTCATCATCCCAAATGCCCCTATTCTAATGGCAGTTAGATGTACCTCTTCAGAGGGGGGACTGATGGAAGTAGCTGCTGCCATTACGCTGGCTGCAGCAGAGAGGCGCAGCTGGGGTTGCACACACTATGGAGCTGGTGAGATGCCACCTCTTCTGAGTTAGAGCAGGAACTCCCTGGGTGCTGCTGAAGACTCAGGCTTTCTGCTCTACAAAGCAGGCAGGAGCCCTGCCCTCCTAGGTGGGCTGCAGCCACCCAAACTATGGCTGTGAATCTGATCCTCCTTGTGCTCGTGGTGGTGGTGGGGCGGGGGGGAAACAGGATCAGGCAGGAAAAGCCAAGATCTGGCCTCCTGGGTGCAGCTGCAGCCACCTGACCCATGGCTGCAGACCTGGGCCTCCTGCTCCACAAGGACAAGCAAGAGCTCTGCCCTTTTCAAGTTGCTGGAGTCGGAGCTCCCTGGGAACAGCTGCAGCCGCCCTCCCATGTAGAAGACTGGGCATCACTGCTGCCTACATCGTTGGGGTCCTGGGAAGACCCTCCCCCATTTCTGCTGGCTTGGAGGTGTCTGCTCCTGCTGCCTCTCTTCTCTCCCGGCACCCATGCACTGGGAGCTCAGAGCAGGGTTGGAGCCAAGCCCTGGAGCCATATAAATGGCAGCAGGAGGAAGACAGTTTCCTTGGCAGAAGAGGAGTCCCTTGTAGAGCCCAACCTTCAGGGACCCGCAGACCAAAGTGGGGACTTCTGGTGCCTCCTCCAGGCCTGACCAGGGCCACCTAAGGACAAACTGGAATGTACTTTCTCCTCTCTGAGCTCCAGAAAAGCCCCGGGCTCAGCCAGAGAGGGCAGAGGACACAGAAACAATGGGATGACCAGCCGCAGAGAGGAGCTACCTTCTCTGCCCGGCAGCTTCAGAGACCCGCAGAGACCTCAGAATGACCTGCCTGCACAGAGAATCCACCCTTTCCAGGGCCTCCTCTCTGCTGAGAGCTGAACACTCGATGGGATGACCTGCTTACAGAAAGGAGCAGGTGGGTCTCCTCTGAGCTGTTCTAACACTAAATGAAGATTCTCTTTCTTTTCTTCACCTTTCACTTGTCTGCATACCTTATTCTTCCTGGACGCAGGACAAGAACTCGGGCAAAGGTGCCACTAGCCACAGAGGTTTCCAGGAAGAAAACTGACACCTCAAAGATTCTGTAATACTAATTATTTCATTTACTTCAGGCACAACATGTAAATTCTAACATATCGTCCAAAAAAATCTAATATTGCAGGCAAACTTGAAATGGGAAACAGAAAGTAGAAATGTATAGAGATAGTGACATCAGTAAGATGGAAAAAGAAAAGGTGCTCTATTTTCTTATTCCCCCACAGCAAGAAAATTTGTCAGCCATCCCTGACAAAAATGTCTATATAATAGAGCCAGACATCATGGCTCACACCTGTAATGACAGCTACATGGTATACTGAGGTTGGAGAATTGTTGCAGGAAACGATTTGAAGACCAGGCTGGGTTATGTGGCAAGACCCCATCTCCAAAATAAGTGCCTTTAATAGAGCTTTGAGATTCAGGAAGGAAGTTGTGAAACTCTCCTAAAGCCCAAGATTGAGGAGTATTCTTTTCAGAAGGCAGGCCCTCATTAAGGTGGCAAACTACAGGACCTCTGTTCCTGGCTAACAACCAGGAAATAGTTCGCCCAACTTGGTCTCACTGAGAATTGTGAACTTACTCTGTAACCATCCCAAACTCCTCCTAGCCACAGTCTGGGAGAGGTTCTGGCCTTCCGGAGGTCTAGAGGAATATACAAATTAATAGCCATGCAGGCAGGTCTGCAGACCTTGGCCTTTACTATGATCTCTGAAGCAGTTCCATGACTCAGTTTCAGCTTCCTGGACCACAGTTCATGGCCAGTTAAGCCTACATAGAAACCCGCACAGTGACCCAGGAAAATCCTCTTTGGTATTCAGTGAAAGCCATACTCATCCACATCCTGATACAAGGCCTACCATATGCAGACCCAACTGCGGAAACCCCACTTAGTGTCTGTTCTAAAGATCAAAGTCCTGAAGGATATTAAGTCTGTCTAAAAGTAAAATGGAAATTATAACTACCCAAGCTCCTTGTAACAAGCCAACTAAAGGTGGACCCTAGTGTAGACTCATAAGTCTTGTGATAAACCAAACTATAATCCTTCTCCACTACAAACCCAGAGAGCATCCCATCACCCTGGGGTCCCAACAACAACAACAAAACGATCTTTACCTTCTGAAACCAGTTTATAAAAACTTGGAGAGGTGTTTGCTCCTTCAAATTCACAGACACCCATGTAAAACTATATTGTGCCCATTGTCAATGCTTCTATTTTAACATAGCACTGAAAGTATGTGGCAGAATAAGTAGTCAAAAAGTTTTCAAAAGCCATTGAAGATTGAAGACAAATAAGTAAAACATTGCTGTTTCTAGATCATATTATCTTGTACATAAAAAACTAGAAACACTACATTAAAACCTGTCTAAACTAATAAATATACTCAGTAGACTAGAAAAATAAAATTAAGTTACAAGCATAAGTTATGGTTCCATACACTTAAAACAAACTCTTTGATATAACAGAAAAACAATCTATTTAGAAGAGCATTAAAATAAATTTCTGATAACAAATTCAACCAGATGTAAAAAAATCTTCACAATGAAAGATATAAGATATCAATGAAAGAAATTAAAGACGCAAATAAATTTGAAAATTTTTATTTCTATGGATTCAAAGAATTTTTTTTTTTTTTTTTTTTTTTTTTTGAGACGGAGTCTTGCTCTGTCACCCAGGCTGGAATGCAGTGGCGTGATCTCTGCTCACTGCAAGCTCCTTTTTTGTATTTTTAGTAGAGACGGGGTTTCACTGTGTTAGCCAGAATGGTCTCGATCTCCTGACCTCGTGATCCACCCACTTCAGCCTCCCAAAGTGCTGGGATTACAGGCGTGAGCTACCGCGCCCAGCCAAGGATAAATATTTGTAAAGTGCCATATTATCCAAAGTAATCTATAAATTCAATAAACTTATCAAAATTTCACTGGTATTTTTCTCACATTAATGAAAAATACCATTCTAAAATGTACATGAAACTACAATAAACTTTGAATGACCAAAGCAACCTTAAGGAAAAAGAACAGAGCAGAAGGACATCATACTTTATAATTTCAAACTGTATTTCAAGAGTATAGTAATAAAAACTGGATGGACTGTGTGGAAAAATGAACAACAAAAAAATAGAACATAAACCACTACTCACCTGTTTTGGACATCATGCTAAAAGAGAATTTAAAATAATAGTTTAACACAGCAGTTTCTCAAAATTATGCAGACATTTGTGTGTCCCCCAAAACAACGGAAAAGTGGCCAGATTTTGCAGTCTCTTATACTTCATGAAGAGGACTTTGGCTCTCATTGTAAACTTGAAGGAAGATCACCAAAGAGAAAGTCGAATCTTTAGAAAATTTAAAAACGTAAGACAGAAGGTGTCCTTGTGTGACAGTAAAATTAAAAAATCCTCAGGCATCCCAGAAACTCTTTCCTTTGGAACACAGCTTCCCAAATCACATTTTAAGCACTGACTTTCTCTTTGACTTTTGGACCTCTCTTCTGTTGCATTTATTCTCACATACCTAGGGGTTTGGCTACAGTCTCATGTCTCTTCATATTCCAAGGCTCTTTTCCTTGCTCCAGATAGGTGATCAGGTCCGGCTTAGAGAAAGCAATACCTGTTTTATTAAAAATAAATAACATGAATATTGCTCATATTCTTCAATTCTCAAGCTAGTAATCTGCTCAGTAAAGATGATGTAATAGAATATTCTACTAAATTAATCCCAAAATAGTAATTTATAACAGAAATTTCTAAATCTTTAGAAAATATTTTAAATTTGTATATTCTTAATGTCACTACCCAATACTACTGAATCAAAAACTGGTGGTGGAAGGCCGGGCACAGTGGCTCACACCTATAATCCCAGCACTATGGGAGGCCGAGGCAGGCACATCACCTGAGGTCAGGAGTTAGAGACCAGCCTGGGAAAAACAGTGAAATCCCATTTCTACTAAAAATACAAAAGTAGCTGGGTGTTGTGGTGTGCGCCTGTAATCCCAGCTACTCAGGAGGCTAAAGCAGGAGAATTGCTTGAACCCAGGAGGTGGAGGCTGGAGTGAGCCAAGCTTGCACCACTGCACTCCAGCATGGGGATAGTGCAAGATTCTGTCTCAAAAAACAAAAAAAAACAAAAAAAACAAAAAAAAAAAACTGGTGGATTTTAAGGTGGAGGAAACAATATTTTATGCCACCAACCTTCAGGCATTACCAATAATCTAGAGTGAAACACACAGATCAGCTCAGGAATGCGGAAAATTCAGATCAAGATGAAACGTCTTGAAGATATTCCTCTCTACACAGACAAATCCCCAAAATTTATTTCAAAACAGGAATCTGAAACTCATTTATACAAAGCAAAAACTACCAAAAAAATTCTACACAAAAAATAAATAAATAAAACCTTTAGAATATATTATGAAATGTGTATTGAAGTTATTCTCACCGAGAAACACCAGGTTTCTGTAGTTCTCTAGCATCACATCTCTATATAAACTCTGTTGTGCAGTGTCCAGGCATTGCCACTCTTTCAGAGAAAATTCTATGGCCACATCCATAAATGTCAATGGTCCCTGAAAACACACACACACACATATTTACCAAGTGGCCATGGGCAGAATTTTTAATTTGACTCAAGATGAAATAAGAGAGTAAAGAGAAGTGCTTCTAACTTATAAGAGTGAATGCAATTCATAAAGTAATTCTCAACACAGAAATATTTTCTAATATATTCTCTAACTCTGTGTAAAGAGAGAGGCATAATCCACAACATCAATGTATATATTATAGTTTTCTGGATTATAACATATAAAATTCAGGCATAAACATAAACATACATTTTTGAGTGCTGTATTTACATCACACAAAATGAGCTGTGTATATTTTTCAGATGGAAAAGACATGTTGAGTTAGAAGGCACCTCTCAAATTTCAATGTATATAATGAACTGGAGATCTTGTGTTGCAGATTATTTTTGTCAGAAGATTTGGAATAAAGTCTGAGTTTCTGAATTTCTAACAAGTTCACCAGTAATGTAACTGTGTTTGGCCTAATAAGAATATTTTGTCAAACATCCAGTAAATGAAAGAACCTGTGTTTTTCCCAGTTTTGCTGGCCCATAAACACAAGTAAAGAGATTTCTGCAAATTGGCCATGTAATCCTAATTAGAAGCCTAGGCTGACAACCACTTAGCTAAGAATTACCTTACATGTTTGAATGACCTTATAAATCTCTTGATAATTTTGGCCCCACTCTAGATAATGCAATTCAGAAGGTTTGCAAACGGTACATAAATGTGTGTTTTAAACAAGTCCACTGTCAATGCTGATGGTGCTCCCCCTGGGCTCATCATTAGATTAGTTAGAGAAAGCGGGTACAGCACAGAATCCCTTACACTCAACACTCTTGTCACAACACAAATAATTTTGGTACAAATGAAGACAACCAATCTCCATCCTACAATATCATGTTCTTTGTTGGCTCTTTAAAGTTTACAGAGAAAATAGGAGGCAGCAATGTCTGAATAAGTCTGCATTTGGAAAACAACATGTACACACGTACTGATGCAATGTTTATTAAGCAAGTACTATGTGATCAAGGGTATGTTACAGAGAACTGTGTTGGGAATAATGTATTATGTGATTTAATCTTCGTAACACCCTGGGATTTAGTACTAAGTGTCTAATAATTCCCATTATTAAGATAAAGGGCCCACCATTTTTATTTACTTTTGTTTCTCAGTCATTGGTTGTTAAAAAATGTATAGAGTAAAAGCTAAATATAGACAGATGAGAGGGATACAGAAAGGAGGAGGTTAATGTAGTTCAGTGAAATGTTTACTGTATTTATATTTACTTTCTTGTGACTTGTGGAGCAACTACTGGATCTGAAGGCATAGAAAACAAGTTGCTAAATGGAATGTCTCCACAGGCACTGGTTTTAATAGAAACTTTAAAAATTAAGACCTTAAAATGCATACTTGATTTTTTCCATTTATCTCCTTCTGGGTTTCAGGAAATTGTGCATAACAGTTCTAGAAAGGTAGTAGGATTCACCACCCAAAACTCTGATTGATTTTTGCTAATCAGTTCTGTGAGGCAAGACTCCATGGTGGGGCCAGACCTAAATGAAGCCCCCAAACAAGGTGACTCTGAACAGAACTGGGTCAGGGAGAGAACCCTATGTAGAATTCTGCTCTCTATGCCTCCAGGGGTATTTCCAGTTCTATTTTTCCTAAGTTTATCTGAGAGAAACTTAAATGCCAGAGTTTGTGTAATTTTAATCTTTTTTCACCACTGCCCTGTCAATTTTATAACATAAACTAATAAGTAATTTAAACAAATCTCTTAAAGTTTTCTAGGGTAATTTTATTAGAAAATAAATATGTATTCTTAGCAAGGTAATAGAAATACAAAGAGTAATAACAACTCTTCTGTCCCTAAGTATCTCTTAAGATGATATCAGAAGTCACAAAAATATAAGGTGGCCCAAGCAAAGCCTAAGGTTTTTTGCACACATCTATTCATTGTACCAACCATATGATGCTTAATTCAACAATGTATCTAGTTGCTAGCCTAGACAGAAAGTTCCTGGATGGTAAGAACCATGACTGCTTCAACTAGTTTTTGAATGGCCATAAAAAATTTTAAAAATTACTTTATCTGTTTGAGTCTCCAGACCTTGTTTTTCACCCAAGTGCCAGGAAACTGGAGAAACTCTCATCTGGCTACCAACCAAAGACCTATTTTGTATGAAGGGAGGAACAAACACAGGCTGACTCATTTCTCTTATACTGAGAGTTAGCAGAATTAACCACTCTTGTCTGACTGACACAGTTCTGCTCTGGACATCCTCAAACTGCTCAGCGACACCCAGCTGATTGTGAGAGGACTTCCAGTGAGCCTGGGCTGACGGCCCAATGGTAAGCCAGGCAGGAGAAACTCAGGCTGATTCTAAATAGAAAATGGAACTGCCCTGGTGGAGCTCCAGAACCTGGATCACTTGTCCTGACTAGCTAGCTCTTGGGTAAGAGGAAGGAGAATACTGTACTCCAGAATCACATTTTACAGGTAGGTGTAGTTGAGATCATGCTGTGGATACTTTGTGGTCTTGATCTCTCACTCCTAAGATGCTTGTTTACACTTGCAGATTTTGCCTTCAGATTGTTTACACCTGGAGCCTCTCACCTAACTATAGCAGGTCACTGGATAAGATCTGAAAAGCTCAAAGAGCCACACTCTTTAAAAGACACTTTAAGATGTCAATGTTGACATCTCACAATGCAGAAAATGCCTCTTGTTGGTTTTCTGTACATTTTCAATACAAAGTCTAACCCTGTCTTGTAATCCCAGGCAGGGGCTAGAACTTAGGTGTAGATTCTAGGTGGGATCAACCTGGCTCTACACTCTTGGGTGTTACAGCAAGTAGAGTACAATCAACGGAGAAAGCCCCTCATACGGGCGGCTCTAGCATTCTAAGTGATATGTCTACCTAAAAGGAAAAAGCTGAAGAAACATGAATATAAGTAGACAAGTTTATCTGGGCCAAACATGAGGACTGTAACCTGACAGCAAAGATTCAAATTGCCTGGAATCTACACTTTAATTAGCAGTAGTCACCAGTGGATTTGTAAAGGTAAAAAAAAAAAAAAAAAGACAGAGAGTGGGCTGATATAAAAATTCTTATTTATTTACAGAAATAACATTAATTATTGGTTGGATATACATTGTGAAGGTTTAGAGTATGGGTTATAGTGTTAGTATCCAGTGTGACATTAATAGTTTAATTTACAGCTACTAATGGCAACAGCGAAGAGTTTTAAGAAATGAATATAGTTTATAAAAGGGGGAAAAAAAGACATAATTATGCTCTTATTTTAATGTCTGGGTTTGACAACTGAAAGAATTTGTATTCCTCAAATAAAAGGTTTTCTCCCCCAAATATAAGACCTAGATTCAGAAAATGGAGCTGCAGGTGTAGGTCCTGGATTGTTGGAATAGCAACAGATGTTACCTGCACCTTTGTGGGCACAGAAATTGGTGGGCATTTTAGCAAGAGGAGGAAGAGGAAAGAGGAGAACTTCATGTCTACATGTCATTACTCTGATTGGGTTTTTGGGCCCCGTGGTCTGTGAATTAGTTTCACATCTGAAAACACAAGAGTCACTGAAAGAGGTAAAATGATAGATTGCGACCCTGTAAAGTTTGTAAAAATCTGATCTAGCCTCTCTAGAAGTGACTGTACAAGACTATAAATAGCAAACAGGCAGAGACACAATTCTGCCTGCATATTTAGGGGACAGCATGCACTCTGCAGCACAATTATGAGTTTACTGGAAGCCTGAGGGGGAAAGTCCTTGCTAGAGTAAAGCTTAGTTGGCATCTAATATATTTATATCATGTCTAGTAATTCTAGACAGTGTTTGGGAACGATAATTAAGAGAAAAATTCTCACCTCATTTTTGCTTTTGAAATGTAAATATTTCAGCCTGCAAATATTGAATAATTACCTTGGATAATAGTTTCTCACCAAACAAACTTAGCATCTTTTAGTCTTTATCATTCTGCAATGCTAAATTTAATCCTATCTTAGTGCTCAACTTTTGTGTGCTCTTACAGTGAGCTTTAATCTAAACAAATCTGTGTCCACTTTAAAAGACTAAGAACATGAAACATGGCCAGGTGCGGTGGTTCACGCCTGTAATCCCAGCACTTTGGGAGGCCGAGGCGGGCGGATCACAAGGTCAGGAGATCGAGACCATCCTGACTAACACGGTGAAACCCCATCTCTACTAAAAATACAAAAATTAGCCGGGCGTGGCGGCGTTCGCCTGTAGTCCCAGCTGCTAGGGAGGCTGAGGCAGGAGAATGGCGTGAACCTGGGAGGCGGAGCTTGCAGTGGCGACAGAGTGAGACTCTATTTCAAAAGGCAGGCAGGCAGGCAGGCAGAAAGAAAGGGAGGAAGGAAGGTAAGAAGGGAAATAAACCTTTGCCAAAGCAAAAATAAAAAGCAAAAAATCTGAGGCCCTAAGTGAATACTACCCTGGGTCAGTAAAAATGAAAAAAAGGTTTATTTAGCTGTTACAACTATTTACACATATTTTTTAAAAAGCACAGAAAAAAACCTACATATAATCCAAATGCTTTAAGGGAGATGAACAAAATATCCTCCCTGATTTTCAGGTAGGAGAATAAAGCCACTTATTTCTCATTTATATTTTGTCCGAAAGCAGCCAGGTCTCTGGACGTTTTTGAACTCTTGGATCTCTGAATTTTAGTAGACACTGGATTCAGGCATCTAAGGAGTAACCCTGGGCACATGGTGCACTTGGAAGAATGTTTATGGGGTAAAAAGCTAAAGAGGAAACGTGTTATAAAAAGTTCATGGTTGCACATGAATAAAGCAAGTTCTCAGAGTCCTATAAAGAGACTGAGATTCTGACACAATAACAGTGGTAGACTACAACACTCCACAGACACTATTAGACACATTATTGAGACAGAAAATTCACAGATATCAGAACCTAAACTCAACACTTGACCAAATAGTCCAAATAGACATCTATAAA